TCTATTTTAGAAATCCTTTCCAAACAATTGCATTTACTCCACAACCACGTTCAAACCATCATTTAGATAATTAATCTGTTTTGCTCATTTTGCATCACTGTCTCTCTTTTTTAAAAAAATAAATTTATTTATTTATTTGGCTGCGATATGCGGGATCTTTCATTGCAGCGTGCAGGTGCGTGGGCTTCTGTAGTTGCAGCACACAGGCTCTAGAGTGTGTGGGCTCAGTAGTTGTGGTGCGTGGGCTTAGTTGCCCCACAGCATGTGGGATCTTAGCTCCCTGACCAGGGATCAAACCTGTGTCCCTTGCATGGGAAGGCAGATTCTTAACCACTGGACCACCAGGGAAGCCCCTACATCACTGCCTCTTATGGGTTTATCTTCCCTCATCTTGAGTCCTTGAATCTTATCAGTTTGTCATTGACTGGAACTAAAAGCTTGGGTTTGGAAAGTAATCTCTGTCCTTTCACTTACTTGCTGTGTGACCAGGCAAATTTCTTAACCTCTCTGTGCCTTAGTTACCTCATTTAATAGAGGGAATAATAATAGAATCCACCTCCCAGAGTTGTGAAGAGACAATGGAATAAGGCGATGAATGAATGGGTGAAGAATTGAAGGATGTGGGTTTCCTCCCTCCAATCTCTCAAGAAGTTCTCACCACTAATCCTTTCACTTCCTGTGCACACACTCTTTTTCTTTCTCTGTGGTCTGCTTCTCCCTCTCTGTTGACACTCTTCCCTTAGCCTGGAAAGTGGTTCAAGTCTCTCTCATGTTAAAAAACTTTTGGGACTTCCCTGGTGGTCCAGTGGCTAAGACTCCACGCTCCCAATGCAGGGGGCTCTGGGTTCGATCCCTGGTCAGGGAACTAAGATCCCACATGCTGCAACTAAGAGTTCGCATGCCACAACTAAGACCCGGCACAGCCAAATAAATACATAAATAAAAATATTTTTAAAAATATATTTAAAAAAATAAAAAACTTTTGCCATTGCTCTGTGTCCCTCTCTTATCCCTTGACTCTTTTCTTTCATGTCTAATCTTCTAGAAACAGTGAAACAAGCCATGTCTACACCCCCTCACTTACTACCAACCCGCTGGCATATGTCTTCCTACCAGCCCCTCCACTCAACGTGCCCTCAGTAAAGGTCACTGGTGAACACCATGCCTTCAGTTTCGTGCAGCAACATGGCAGGGTGGAGGCACAGTTTGACCCTGAGGAGTGCTGTCCAGTAGGGGTATTGACAAACTGGGGGACAAATGTTTGGCTTGCAGTAGATAGCTCATAAATGTGTCCCCTGAATGGCTGTGTGATGTGAATGAGCATGAGATGGGGGCTGGGGAGGCTTCCTGGAGGAGGAGGCACCTCAGCTGAGTCTGCATGGGGTGGAATGGAAAAGCATTCCAAGCAAAGGGAAGAACATGGGGAAAGTCCAGGAGATGTGAGGCTGTAGAGAGTTCTGGAAGCCCCAAGTGGAGGTACATGTGGGCCTGTGCAGTATGTGGGGGGATCAGGGAGGGACTCTCAGCTGCACCTGCCCAGCCCTGCTCTGTTCCTGTAGGCCAAGCCCCTGTTGACTTCTCCCCTGTAGCTGTTCCCTCAACTTCCACACACTGTGCCTCAGTTTCCTTCTACTTCTCTGGCTGTCTCACTTAGACTCCCCTTAAGGTCTCCCTCCTCCCCAACTCTAGGTTGGGGTTCCCTGCCTCTGGATTTTTCCTCCTGTCCTAGGTGCGCTCACCAACCCCCTTCCAGCTTCACACCCCACCTCCAGCTATGCTCTGGGTACCTTCTCAAGTGGCCCCAGAACCATCTGTCCAGAATCCCCTCCTCACCTTTCCTTCCACATCTCTCCTTCCCTGGGACATCCTCCCATCCCTCATTTTCCCCCAGCAAACAGTTTCTCCACCCATTTCTCCTGGCCCAACCGCCAGGCAGGGCATCATCTGAGCCTCCTCCTTCTCCCACTTCCCCCACAACCAGTCCTGAGGCTGTTTCCCACTTGGGCCTCCTGCTCCTTCCCCCTCCCCTTGTCTCATCCCATCAACCCCACCTTGACTTAGCCCCCATGCCAGTGTTTCCAAACTGGGTTCCCAAGCACTCCCTCTGTGATTCTGTGTAAAAAGGTTCATGAGTCCCAAAAGGTTTGCAGGTTTCACAATCCCTCCCTGTTAGGATGGAAGTTCTTCCTCATGTCTAACTTAAGTCACTCCCCCAAACTGCTCCAAGATACTGATTTGGAGACAAAGGGGGTTGTGAGAACTGAGTCTTGAGAATGGACCACAGCTGCTGGAGCAGGACAATCCCCTTCCCCTACCCCAGGCCACAGGCTGGAGATCCTCTGTCTGCTCCTGGGTTGTTTGACCTGTGAGACATGGCAGGCTGTTCCCTGTTCATCCCTGGCCTGTGCCTGTGCTCGGACCTTTTCTTCTTTGGGTCTTTCCTGGGAGCTGGCTCTGAGCTGTTGTGATTTTCCCCCAGCCCTAAAACGTAGGTTTACTATTCTCATTACCCAGATGAGAAAGGGAGGCATCTGGGTGCTGCTTCATGCCCAGGTGAATAGCAGAGCTTCAGTGTGCCCCACAGTGGTCCTGCTTGGACTCCCCCAGCAAGTGGCAGCAGGACATGGGCCCAGCACCTGTGGGTTTAGTTGAGGTTTCCAGCTAGCTTAAGCAGAGACAGAGCACAGAGAGGAAGCTGGGAAGTCTCAGGATGAGGCCTGACACCAAGTCTCCAGACAGTGGTACAGAGGCCTTGCTCACATGGGGGTCTGGGGACCTCCTCCCTGTGACCACTCTGTCCAGGCTCTGGAGGAGGGACTCATCTGACCAGCGTAGGTCAGGTATCCACTCATGGCCCAATGGTCGAACAATTTTATTATTTCTTCATTATTTTAAAAGTTGAGATATAATTCACATACCATAAAATTCACCCTTTTAGGAGCACAATTCAGTGATTTTAGTATATTTACAAGGCTGTGCAATCATCACCACTATCTAATTCCAGAAGGTTCTCATCATCCCCAAAAGGAACCCCACACCCATTAGCAGTCACTACCCATTCCCCCTCCCTCCAGCCCCAGGAGCCACTAATCTACTTCTTGTCTTTATGGATTTGCCTGTTTTGGACTTTTTTTTTTTTTTGGTACGCGGGGCCTCTCACTGTTGTGGCCTCTCCCGTTGCGGAGCACAGTCTCCGGACGCGCAGGCTCAGCGGCCATGGCTCACGGGCCCAGCAGCTCTGCGGCATGTGGGATCTTCGCGGACCGGGGCACGAACCCGTGTCACCTGCATCGGCAGGCGGACTCTCAACCACTGCGCCACCAGTGAAGCCCCTGTTTTGGACATTTTTAAATAAAGGGAATCATATAATATGTGGTCCTTTTTGTCTAGCTTCTAGCATGTTTTCAGGGTTCATCCATGTTGTTCGGCTTGGATTCTTCCCACCACCTGCGTTAGTTTCGTAGTTAAATCCTGCGCACACAGAGAAACAAAATCTCCCTTGGCAGAGTCACAGCACAGAGTACATTGCGCCGTGAACAGAAAGAGCGGGCAAACTGCGGCCGGAGCGGGAGGACGTGGGCTTCCTGGCTCGCAGAGCGCAGCCTATGCCCAGCGGCCGGCGGGAGGCCGGGAGGCTGAGCTTCACCGCCCAGGTGAGGCCCAACTTGGGCGTCACCACCGTGACAGCGAGAGCTAGCCGCCACTCCTCGCCGGCGCCCTGGTAACTCCACGAGAGGAGGCGATGCGCATTTATTGAGTGCCTACTGTGTGCCAGGCGTTCTGGAAACCGCGGTGGCGGAGAGGGACAGAGGCGCTTGGAGTGGATGAGCGCGCATAACGGGCGCTCGGAGGTCCCGGCTGGTGTTTTCAGCGTTGTGACTGCTCTGGCGCTGAGTGAGGTCTGGGAGGGGCGCACGCAGCGGGGAGGGGGAAGAGCGCAGACCTAGGCCGGCGCTCCCTGGGGAGCAGAGCCCGAGGCCCGGCCCACTGCTTGTGCGAAGGGAGGAGCTCCAGGCGCCCCGCCCATCTAGCCCCGCCCCACCGGCCCCCAAGCTGCAGAGCGAAGGGCGGAGCCTTGGGGCGACCCGCCCCGGCGCTCGCCCCTCGCCGCGCCCAACAGGGCCGAGCAGGAGGCGGGGCCTAAGGGAGCCCCGCCCCGCGCCGCACCGGGAGGAGGAGGAGCCGGCGGCCGGCCCCCACTGCAGCGCCAGCGTGCGAGCGGACGGCTGTGGACTCAGAACCGGGCCGGAGTGCCGAGCGAGCGTCGCGCAGGCAGACAGGCCGCGGCCGCGCCGCCGCCAGCTCCCCCTCCCGCGCCCAGCCATGCCGTGCGCGGGCCCAGCCTGAGCCGAGGCCTCCGAGGCCGGGCGGGCTCGGGGCCTCGGGACCGGGCCGGGGCCATGCTTGCACTGCCCTGACGATGCCGCCCCCCGCGCCCGCCCGCCTGGCGCTCGCCTTGGCCCTGGGCCTGTGGCTCGGGGCGCTGGCGGGGGTCCCCGGGCGCGGCTGCGGACCGTGCGCGCCCCCCTGCCTCTGCGGCCCGGCGCCCGGCGCCGCCTGCCGCGTCAACTGCTCCGGCCGCGGACTGCGGACGCTCGGGCCCGCGCTGCGCATCCCCGCGGACGCCACAGCGCTGTGAGTAACCCGCCGCCCGCAACGCGGGCCGGGCGGTTGCCATGGCGCCCGGCGGGCGCAAGGACTGGCGGCTGCCGGGGCCCGGCGGGGCGCGGGGCGCCTGCACCCTTCGGGGAGAGGCCGGCCGGGCAGGCCGCCGGCCTGGCGGGCCTCACAGGGCGTGGGCGCGTCCCCGGCCTCTAGAAGGGGAAACGGAGTTAGGGCCAGGCCTCTCCCAGGGCGAGGATCCAGCGCAGTGAGGTCGGCCCGACTAAATAAGGAAAACCTGGGACCGGGGCCGGCTCTCAGCCCGCCTGGCCTCAGCCAGAGGGAAATAGGAAAATACCGCATTCTGTGCAGGCAGAGACATCGCACAACCCGGTGGGGCTCCGCTAACGCCAGCTGACTGGGGGCCTGTAGCATCGTGCGGAGGCGGGGCGGGAAGGTCTCTGAAAAACACTTAAACTCTAATTAGAGCCTAATAGGATGCGGCTTGGCCTGGGGGCATACCCAGCACTTGGGAGCCCAGGAGTAGGAAGCTAGGAGGTGGAGAGCTCTATCTGGGATGACAGGGAAGGCTCTCCGGAGGGGGTGGACAAGAATTTGATGGATGTGTAAGAATTGGCCTGTTACTTGAGGGGCAGGAAGGTGGGTTTGGGGGAAGGGAGGAGAGAACCATGTGTGCAAAGGACTGGAGGCTGGACTTGGTCGAACGTGGGTGTAGGGGTACACCTCCAGTGTGGCAGCTGTGGGGGGAAGGGGTAGTGTGAGGGAGTGGGAGCAGGATGGGTGGTGGGCTGGTGTCATGAAGGGCCTCATTTGTGCAGTTTAGCGTTCTGATGTTATCCTGGGAACAGTAGTGGGGTAGCATGGCCATGAAGGGGTTTAAAACGCTGAAAAGCAATTGTCAGGTTTGCATTTTGGCAGAAATAATAACAGGTAGTCTTTATGGAGAGCTTGCCTCCAGCCTGGGCCTGTGCCAAGCTCTGGTTGTGAATTGTCCCACATAACCCTCATCCTAACCCTCTGAGGTGAGGTACAGTGAAGATGCCCATTTTACAGATGAGAAAACAGCCCAGAGGTGATGGTGATGTGATTTGTCCAAGCACAAGTAGCAAGTAACAGCCAGTACATGGCAAGGCAGGGTTTGACTGTGAGGAGCTGAGGGTTGGATTGAAAGGGATTCAGGGGACTGAGATTTTCAGATGGTTGTCCCCAGAGATGGGGACAGGCTCAGGGCCTGCTTATCCACATCCCTCCGGCCCCGTTTGGGTACTTGCAGACACCTAAGCCAGGACTCCATCACTCCCTGGCTGCATGCTGGAATCCCTTGGTGGGGGTTTAACATCCCCAGGCTTATTAAACCTGGGATTTGGTTTTGTAATGTTCCCTGGGTGACTCCAGTGTGTGGCCACCTTTTATGAGGAGGACCCTCATGGTCAGTGTTCAGACGAGTTTGGATGTTGGCGGGTGGGGCAGGGGTGGGTGCTTCTCCTGGATGGGTCCTCCTTGGGGCTTTGCTGGGGGTTGGGGCTGGGGGCTGGGGGCAACCGGGTTCTCCAGGGGCAGCGGCTGGGAGCCATGGGGCCACGCTGTCATCTTGCTCCCTGCCAGCTTAAGTGTTTGCCATCACGGTTGTCTCTGTGGAGGTGGGCTTCTGGCCTGCAGCCAGTGCCCACACAGTCGTTTTGGATCCACGCCACTCCTTGTTTCTCAACGCTGTGAGTAAGGTTACATACGTCTCTCGTGGGCTGAGAGCTGCTGGGGGGTCAGGCCCCAGCTCCTGCTGGTTATTCCCGCTTCCTCATCACCTGGCGGCGTTTTGGTCTCCAGGAGCTGTCCAGGAAATAAACCGTACTGGTAGCTTGGCCAGGGGCCCGCAGCAGGGTGCAGGCTCCCAGGCATAGCAACGGAGCCTGAGCCTATTGCCTTGCATGTGTCCCCTTAGGCTCTGGTCTTGGGTTTTGGAGGTCCAGGGAGCTGGTGGCCTGGCCTGAGCCAGCAGGATTCCCAGGGTTGCTGACCCTGCAGCATGTGATGATGGGACTCTGGGAGGAGGGGGATGGGGAATAGAGGAGACTTCATGTTCTTGTTGACACTCTGAAGCTGCCTCTGGGAGATTTCCAGAGGACTGAGTGCAAAATGGTAAACTGGGCCCTTGGGTGCAAATGTTAAGGCCCCCTCACCCCGGTCCCTCAGGCCACCATCTGTGCTCTGTGGGCTGCCCCAGCCATTCTGCCTGTCCACCCTGCAAACCCCCTCCTCAGGGAGCAGGAGATGGGTGAGGCTTCTCTTCTCCAAGGGAGCAGGGCTGAGCTCAGAGATGCCAGGGAGCTTCCCGGGTGAGGGCGTGCGTGTCCAGGGGCCCCAGTACCCCTGCCTCCTGGGTGTCACCAGAAGCCTCCTCTAGCGGGCTCAGGCCTGGCGTCTCTGTCATCAGTGTCTCGCAGCCACCCCTCCATTTGAGACTCCTTGGCCAGCCTGAGGTGCGGCAGGACAGCTGTGTCCAGACTTGGGTGGGAGGACAGGGGCTGGCTGGTGGGGGATTCGGGGCCCCTGGGCCTCAGCATGCAGGATAGCCCAGGATTCTGAGACCACAGCCTTTCTTGGGTTAAGTGATGCTGCTGGGAGATGACAGCCTGAAAAAGATGACGTTACTCAGTAAAATGTTGTTGCTCTCCTATTTTTAAAGCTTTTATCCTGGAGAGTTTGAACATACACAAAAGTGGGAGGAATAGTGTGATGAACCTCATGGACCCACTGCCCTGTGGCCTGGCCTACCCCTCCACACCTCCACCCCACCCCAACCCATTTTGGAAGCAAATTCCAGCCATCCTACTTTTGATCTGTAAGCATTTTGGAATGTATGGTGACACCTCGATCACACCTAAAACAGTGCATAATACCCTGATGACTTTGCATGTCCAGTGTGTTCAAATTTGTGGTTGTCTCAGTTTTTTTAGTAGATTGAATTAGGACCCAAATAAGGTCCATGGAGTGGCAGTGCAGTTAGTTGATGTCCTTTAAATCTCTGTGGATGTGTAGGCTTTCCTTCCATCTGTTTCCTCTTGTGCGATTTATTGAAGAAACCGGCTCCGACGGCACCTGGCTTTTGGATTGTGTCTCTGGGTGTCCCTGTGCCCTTGGTGTTCTTCCTGTACATTGATGGTCGGGTCCAGAGCTGTGTTGTATGGTGAGCCACATTTCAAGTGCTCGAGCCAGAGCCAGCGGGCTACCATGTTGGACGGGACGGCATAGAGAGTTCTAGATGTGACAGCACTGCTCCAGGTGCTGTCAGTCATTTTCAGGTGTGGTTGCTTTTGGCTGACAGCTTTTCAGGTGATGTGAGCTGCTAATTTTGGCCAGGGGCCCAAAGTGGGCCTCGTACTGTCTTGTGAATGTTTGGGTCTAGGACTAGGCTCAGAGCAGGGACTCAATAGGCACTTGGTTCGCTGATTAAAATATTGGGGCCTTAGGGTCTTCCATTGGCTGGGGGCACTCAGGGCCTCGCCTTTCCTCACCTGTGCCCCTAAATAATAGGGGAGTCTCTGGGAGACTCAGCCCCCGGGGCCTGCACAGGACATGGGTGTGAGGGAAGATGGACATCGGGGAGTAGACCCCTGGGCTTGGCGTGGGCCTGGTGTGTGTGTAACGTGTTAGATTGCAGGTGTCATGCACGTGGCTGCCTTGAGGGCTGGCGGGGCAGCGGAGGGGCCTGTCTCTGGGCCCTCACCAGAGGGAGGGCCTGGCTGCTGTGTGCCTGGCCCTGTGCCAGGGGTCTTCAAGGCCCACGTCTCTGAGGCTTTTATGACAGCAGAGCTAGTGTTAAACCAAAAGACAGATGATAAGGAGGAGGCCGTTTTGGAGGGGCTCCCTGGAAGGATCCCCAGTGTAGGTGACAGTGAAGCCAAGACTCAGTGCTCACGCAGGAGTCATGCAGGGGCTGGGAGAGAGCGTCCCAGATAGAGGGGACAGCCTGGTAGAGTCTCAGAGGTGCCAGGTGATGGAGGGGCGGGAGGTGGGGCCTCTATCGAGAGAGCAGGGGGGCAGCATTGAGGGACCCAGGAGAGAAGCGTCATGATTGGCATCTTCTAGAAAGGACACTAGCTGGGGCGTGGAGACAGTGGGTTTCAGGAGGCCCTGGGTGTCCTGCGTACCCAGCTGGTCTCACCCTCACATTACCTGAGCTGCATATGATAGCTGGCACTTGGAAATGCAGACTAAGTGCACATGTAACATTAGTTTTGTGGTAAGACACAGACTGCAGATTTGTCTGAACTGTGGACAAGAGGGCACACACTGCCTTCTGTATAAGATCCCCTGGAAGGTCAGGCAGGTGAATGGGAAGGCTTCAGCTTCATCTGTGACACCTGGGGACATGAAGGGACCAACACCAGAGCATTCCCAGTGCCAGTAACCCTCAGGAGCCAGGCAGTAGCTGGGAGCAGTGAGGACAGCCACCATCCAGGAGGGTGAACACACCTGCAAAACGACTGCAGGGTGGGGAAAACATATGCAAACCATCTATCTGATGAAGGACTTGTAGCTAGAATACATAAAAATCTTTATGACTCAATGCTAAAAAATGGGCAAAGGATCTGAACAGATCAATCTCCAAAGGAGATACACAAATGACCAATAAGCACATGAAGAGATGCTCAGTGTCTAGCTTTCAGGGAAACACAAATCAAAATTACAGTGAGATACCACTTCATACCCACTGGGATGGCTGTCACCAAAAGACAGACAATAAGGAGTGTTGGTGAGAACGTGGGGAAATTGGAATCCTCGTGCACGGCTGGTGGGGATGTAGGACGGGGCAGCATTTTGGAAAACAGTATGGCAGCTCCTCAGAAGATTAAGCTAAGCATAGAGTTAGCATAGGGCCCAGCCATTCTCCTCTCAGGTGTATGTACACCCAAGAGACACGAAACCTACGTCCACACAAAAACTTGTACACAAGTGCCTGTAGCAGCATTATTCATAGTACCTGTAAGGTGGAAACAACTCAAGTGTCTATC